ACTGCTTGAAACAGAAGCACTTTTCTTCATCTCTTTCAATGGCAAACTTGCATTTATGTGAATGTGGAAGTAGATACAGTTGAACTGATTTTGCTTATTAAATGGTTGAAACAAAATGAAGGGAATAAAAGCAGATCTCTCAAGTTTTTCTCCGTATCTGCCTATTCTAATAATTATGACTTAAGAATAATCCACAGCCTGTCCATTTTTGAGCACCTGAATTTCTATTCATTAAAATAAAAGTGGACCCAGAGGTAATATCACTTCTAATTAATCCTAGAACACGCCTACTCCTGATTTCTGCTCTTGATGTAACTGTCACATTTGAGGAAAACAACTTACCTAATGTAAGTCATTTAGATTTGATGTAAACAATTGAAAAGATAAAATAGGAATGATCAACTTTATTAACTTCTGTTCAAGTGTTTGCCTTGCAAGTAATGAGCTAATCGATAAAGTCAGTGTTTCTAATCAGAAAGTGAAGAATCAACCATCTTGCTCTGTGTTTTTTCGATGTGTTGGTGAGGGGCGGGGGGGGGCAGGGATGAGAAGTGGAAAGACAATCAGGGCAATGGTGTAAGTGAGAACGACCGCCAGCAGGGGGCGATGTTCTCCGTAGCAGGTGCAGCAAAGGCCAGCAGCCGATCGAATGGTAAGTGAAACAACCTGTCTGGAGTGTGTTCACCAGGCAGAGGTCCCAGAGATTTGGGAGTGGCGTAAATGCTTTTAACCAGGGAGCATACAGAGCTCTAATGGTGAATCCTGACGTCAGCCTGTCTACCTGAAAGTCAAAACTTCCCACCCAGTTCTTAGGACTAAGCTACCTCAGAGAATCAAGGAATCCAGTTCTCTCATATTGGCAGCAAAGTTCTAAATATTTGAACCTTCATCTGCTGTTCTGCCAAGCACATGAGCAGGGAGCAGGACCAGACGGAGGGTAGCTACGGCTGCAAGGGGTGCTCCAGTACGGATTACTGGTGCTAAAACGGTGACTGAAACTGCAATGACCCCTCACAAGAATTATTAAAATATTTTTCATCTTTTTCATAAAAGTATGAAATGGACAGGTAACAAAAATTCTTATGAATCATGCATTATCTTTCATAAGTCACTATAAATATCATTTGCATAAGAAATTGTCTAGTTTATCACCATGGTAATAATGGTGAACATGATAAAATATACCAAGTCTGCAAACCTCTCAGAGAGATCTACATTTATAAACTACCATCAGGCATGGCTTAGCAGACTGTCACACTTAAGATGGAACATGGTTGATATTTGATGCAGTAAAATCACCAAATAAGTGCCATTTGATCAATGAAATGGAATCTTATAATCATCAAGTCTAACTTTAAAAGCAATGATAAAAAAAAGCACATGGTGAAATATTATGTATTTTGAAGGCATATTACACATTTCTAATCATCATGAATATGAACCAATAACTCCTGATTCTGCAACTAATGTACACATAGGGAATTTGTAATAAAGTAGCTCATTGCACTAAAGAATGCCTATAAACATGTCTATGGCATCTCATGTTTAACATAACAGATTTGAGGTATATGATGTCTAACAGTTTATATGTATTTTACAGTTCACACTTATTCTTTATCAAACATAGATAGATATATAAAATCACAAAATTCAGTTTAGTCACTTGTATGCATATATACAAAGCATTACAAGTTTCAATTTTAAAATCTCAAAAAGGCAAGTGATTAATTGGATGTTTGTATTTTTATTATCATAAAGAGTTTTAATGGTTAGGTGACCTCTGTTGCAGTCTGCTATATGTAGTTGCATTGATGCACTAATAATATACTGCTAAGGTATATTATGTTTTGCTATGGATTTTTTCCAAATATTGTTGCTAAAACTCATACATTGACCCAGAATAGCAGAACAGTAGGAAAGAGTAATTTGCTATTTTCTCTAGACTATGCTTCCCTAAATGGTAGAAGGAAATGAATTCTCTTTATCTTTGAACCTGCTCTTCATCCACGACCCAGCAATAGACAGGCCTGTCTCAGCTTCGTATTTCCCAGAATCAGGACATAGGAGCTGCCTGAAAGAAAAGTCACTTTCCACACATGGCAAGGTATAATGATCACGTTTTTCCTCCACAACTTATAAGCCAAAGTTTGCATGACTAGAGTCAGAAAGAAAACAGCATTGCAACAGGAGGAAGGTAGCAACAAATTGCAAGTTTTGCAGGTGGGCCTTGGTGCTGGCATCTCCGGAACCCACAAAATTGAGCTGCATCTTCCCGAGATGTCTCCACAGGGAGAAGCTGAGCAGGACGACAGTTGTCAGGGACACACTGAAGGGCATGGTCTCAAGCATCATGTAGCTGCATACAAAACGCCCTGACAAGTATAACGTTTCTGTTACATTGGAGCTACTTGTTGTATTGCTTTTATAGTCATCAATTCAGACATTAGTGTCTGCATTTGTAACTAAAATACTGAAAAGCAAAATAATCAAAGACACCAGCAGTGTCCCTGAGATCGCCTTTTCCACTCTCCACTTCAGGTAGAGAAAAGCAGAGTTGGAAAAATTGGCTATCTTGAACAAGTAGAAGATGCAGAGGCTTGTAGCAAACCACATACTAAAATGATTGGTTGCATTCCGGGTAGAATTAGTCATTTTTAGTATTTGGGCAGACCAAACCACGGGTGGGTAAAGCACAGAAAACAACTTACGAATGAATGTTACCCAAAGCAGGACAACCTTGCAGATGGCTAAAGCACTGAGTTGATCCACTGAAGGCATCTTTCTTCTCTTGACCCAGTCAATGATGTTCACCAGTGCTATGGATTCACTGCCCACATTCCCAGTTATGAACAACACCACCAAAAATAGCTATAATCGTACTTAGTACAGCACTATCCATTGTCTATAACTAAATTTCCAAATTTGAATATCTCAGGCAAAATAGCTTTATCGCATTCGTCAAAAAAAGCTGTGCTTCTCTGACTCTTTAAAATCCAATATATATACTTCCAATAAAATTTTTGCGTAAATAAGTTAGCAGCCGATAAGCTATTATAGTGAATTTTTCACATCTCTCTGGGTGAAAATCATTGGAATTTTCAGGAAATTCAAATGAGCTCCATTCAGAGCCTAAGTAGAGGAAATCCTTTTATAGTGGATGATGCTGGAAGTGTTGAATTCTCATTTGTTGACATGCAAAAAAAGGAGACTTTATTTACATTGTTTGAGCCACTGACAGATGACACATTGTATTATGACAACTTGAATCTGGCTAAGAAACTTGGCAAAATTGTAACACATAGGGCCCTGCGCGGTGGCGCAAGTGGTTAAGGTCCTCGCTTTGCGCGCCCGGGATCCCATATGGGCCTCGGTTCTATCCCGGCAGCCCCGCTTCCCTTCCAGCTCCCTGCCTGTGGCCCGGGAAAGCAGTTGAGGACGGCCCAAAGGGAAGATCTTCCTTTCTGTCTCTCCTCTCTGTATATCCGCCTTTCCAATAAAAAAATAATAATAATTAAAAAAAATTGTAACACATAGAGCAGATAAGAGAAAAAAAGCCGACAAATGAAACCTCCTGAGCGCTGTGGTTTAGAGCAACTCTGTTCTTCGTGCAACATCTCAGAGTTATATCATCCTGTCATGGACTGGAGGAAACTATTACTAAAACATGTGACATTGAAATAACTTATTTATCTTTCTGATTTTCTTAGAGGAATGAGCAGGCCCACAGGCACACACACTTATTTCCAACTCTCTTCTCTTTCTATTGGAACAACCTAGGTTTTCAAGGTTTTTTTTTTTTTAAGATGTATTTATTTTATTGCAAAGTCAGACATACAGCGAGGAGGAGAAAGAAGATCTTCCGTCCCATGGTTCACTCCCCAAGTGGCCACAAAGGCTGGAGCTGAGCCGATTTGAAGCCAGGAGCCTCTTCCGGGTCTCCCAAGTGGGTACAGGATCCCAAGGCCTTGGGCCGTCCTTGACTGATTTCTCAGGCCACAAGCAGGAAGCTGGATGGGATGCAGAGCCACTGGGACTAGTACTGGCACTCACATTGGATCTGGACGTGTGCAAGGTGAGGACCCTAACCACTAGGCAATCGCACAGGGCCCATAAATATTTATTTATTTCCAAATATTTATTTCCAAATCAATCTGATTGGTTACTAATAACAAAGTTGGAAGACATGGACAATCAAAATACAACAACTACAAATTTCAGAGTGATGTTCAATTGCAAAACTAACATGAGTCATGATATGGTAGCCTATTATGTAAAAATGAAGCATTTTCATACTTTGCACAATAAAAGCTCCAAAGATATTCTACTTCATCAGTGGACTGAAATTTCTGCATCATTAGTTCTAGCTTGAAATGGAAAGAAAAAGAAAGCTATATACAGGTAATGGCTTTTTAGTCCAAATGACACATTCTTAATAAAATTAATACTACCTGAAGTTTCTTAAATCTGAAACTGATGTGGGGAACATGGAATTAGGTAAGCCTCATGATGTTGAGGAGTTTCAACCATCGAACACAATGAACCTTGTTTATGCCCTAGAAGTCTATATTTAACTTAAAATTCTTACCCAAAATGTAAGCATTTTACTAAATTAAGACATATGCATAATTATGAAGTTCTACTTTTAGTCACTATGTCTCAAATGTTTGCATTCACATTTTTAAGTCCCTGTTTTTAAAAATCTCAAAAATATGAGTGATTCATGCAACATATTCATATTATACCTTATTATAAAGGACTCCGATTAAGTGGTCTGCATTCATATCTTTTTGTGTGCAAGTACACTTAGATACAGACTAACAGGTAGTCTGCTAAGGTAAAATACTCTTGGTTAGGGATTATTCTATACGTTATTAAAACTTGTACATTTATACAGAATAGCAGAACTTTGGAACAGAGAAATTTTATGACATGCAGAGATTTCTAATAAACTGATCTTCATCTAGACGATGGAGGATGTTCCCTTAAACGGTAGAAGGCAATCAAGGTTTTGCGTGCTTGCACCTGTGCTTCAGCCGCCGCAGCACAGACAGAGAGGTCTGCCTCAGCTTCTTGTTTCCCAGAATCAAGATACATGAATGTCCTGAAGGAAAAGTCATTGCCAAAACATGGCAAAGCAGAATGGTCGTCTCTTCTGGCTGCAACTCAGAAAGCAAAGCTTGTATGACAATAGACAGAAAGAAAACAGCGTAAAACAGGAGGAAGGCAACCGCAGTCTGCAAGCCTCGCAGGTGGGCCTTGGTGCTGGCGTCTCTGGGTCCCATGGCAAGGAGCTGCACATTCCTGAGATGCCGCCACAGCGAGAAGATGAGCAGCAGGAAAGTGGTCAGCGACACGGTGAAGGGGATGATGGTGAATATCATATAGTGGACTAAAAAAGCCCTGGACAAGTATAAAGAGCTTTTGTAGTTGGAGTTGCAAGTCATATTTATTCTATATCCAGCAATCCAGACATCAATATCTGTATTCAAAAGTGCAATATTTAAAAATAAAATAGCCAAGGACACCAGCAGTGTCATGGAGACCATCTTTTCCACTCTCCACTTCAGGTAGAGAAAAGTAGAGTTGGAAAAATTGGCTATCTTGAGAAAATAAAAGATGCTGAGGCTTGTAGCTAGCCAGATGCTAAAGTGATTACTTACTGCCCAACTAATAGTGATCATTTTAAACAATTCAGTCCAAAGGGCAGATGCGCAAAGCACAAAAACCAGCTTACTCATTAGTACTAACCAGAGCAGGCACATCCTGCAGCTTGCCAACGCACTGAGGAGTTGATCAACAAACGAGATTTTTCTTTCCTTGACCCAGTCAATGATGTTCACCAGAGCTATGAATCCATTACCAACGTTTCCAATGATTAACTGCAGACATTGAATAACTGTAATTATGCTTGATACAACGCTATTCATTGTCTTTAAGAGAATGTTCCTAATTTGAATATTACAGGTAAACTATCAGAAGGCGTTCATCTAAAAGCTATTTATCCAATTTCTCAAAATTTCAGTAACATGCTCCCAGTGAAATTCTTCTGTGCGCAATATGAAGTCAGCAAACATGCAGTCTATACTGGATTATTCACAAAAACCTTTAGTCACAAAAACCTTTATATTTTCCAGAAACCACAGACGGGATTCAGCCAGAGCCTGTGGGCTTCAAATACAATGGAAGAAAAAAATGTTCTGTACTTAGTGCAAGAAATGCTGAATTCTCATTTGCTAACATGCAAATAAAGGTATATTTGCTTACATTGTGTGAACTATCAATATTTGACCACATTTTATTTTGACAACTTAAATTCTGGCTAAGAATTGTTACCAAATTCTAACACAGGAAACAAGAAGCAAGATGCTAGTTTGACAAAATCTCATGGGTAACAATGTTTTTAAAACACGTTATAGTACATTCACAGGGGACCATTATAACTCTGCCTGGTAGTTCAATAAAAAAAACATTAAAATTGTCTGATAATGTCATGGAAAGATTATTTCTAAAATATTTTATGGGCCCAGCGAGGTAGCCTTTATTTTTATTGGGAAGGCGGATGTACAGAGAGATGGAGAGACAGAGAGGAAGATCTCCATCCGATGATTCACTCCCCAAGTGAGCGCAATGGCCGGTACTGCGCTGATCCAAAGCCAGGAGCCAGGAACTTCTTTCCAGGTCTCCAACGTGGGTGCAGGGTCCCAAGGCTTTGGGCTGTCCTCGACTGTATTCCCAGGCCACTAGCAGGGAGCTCGATGGGAAGTGGAGCTGCCGGGATTAGAACCGGCGCCCATATGGGATCCTGGCACATTCAAGGCAAGGATCTTAACCATTATGCTAACGCGCCAGGCCCCTGAAGGAACTCTTGCAGGGTCCCTCACAACTTCACCCCATCTCACTTTATGTTGGAAGCAATTTAATTTGTCATTTGAACAGAAAGTCTCAGAGAGAGAATTTTGCAGATAGAGCAAGAAAGGCCACGAGGGTGATTCGTATCCATTCCGTGGAGAAATCAGTCTCACAAGTCAGTGTCAAAGTCGCAAACATGGTCCTGGTCAATCTGTCAAAATGACATGTAGATCTAAAGGTCAACAGATACACTGTATCTTCAAAGTTCGTCTCTACATGGTTTATGTTCCAGCAGTGCAAAATATTACTAATCATTCTGTCTACTTATATCATTAGCTCTTAAGAGTGATTATTTTCCTATCAATGCACCAGCACCTCAATTACTATTTACAAAATTAGATACAGAGTCAAATTACTTTAAATTGAACTCATGAAATTTATTATTGAAACTCTCTACCCCTAGATATTAGGTAGTGTTGCTTTGAAATGTAACTTCGACACTGAATTAGGAAAACCGGACTACCTAATGTAAGACACAGAGTGTAAACAAATTGATAGGTATAAACATAAAGATACAACTAGTCAGCCTTTTAACCCCTACTGAACTACTCACACTGAGAGTAAGGAGATCCCAGAAATGATCAACAAACTCTCTTTATCTAGTCGGATAGTGAAGAATCTAATAGGAGATTCTTTGCCTAGGAGAGAACTGGTTTGCTCACCAACAAGAGGAGGACAACCCAGGCCAATGTGGAGTTTTAACAGACCAGCTTTCAGAAACTCATACAAACTCCATGCAGTACTGGATACTCCATGTGAGGGCTGGCGCCCTGCAGATGTACTAAGGAAAGTAGTGGAAGATGGCCCAAGAATTGGGACCCTGCCACTCATGGGGGACACCCAAAGGGAGTTTCCTACTCCTAGCTAGGGCTATTTGAGGAGTGAACCTGTGGATGGAAGATTTCTTCCTCTGTCTCAGTCTCTCCATCTCTATAACTCTGTTTCTTGAAAGAATAAATGAATCATTTGTATTTTTTTAAAAGAAGACGGACACCACACCACACGCCTTTTTCAGGGACCGTGGGGCTGAAATCTTGTGACTCTTTGAATTCTAATTTCCTGACATGTTCACAGGAGGATAATTTAAGAAAAGAAAATGCATCCATGATGTAGTGAAAAGGCATGAATTCTTACCCGAAAGGCACTCAATGGCTGTCACGTTGGTTGTTCTTCCAAGCTGTGTTTCTTCCACCTCCTCTCACCCCACGTTATCCTCCATGTAATCCGCTTCACGTGGACAAAATAAAACCCTCCCAAATCCTCAGTGGCAGTACTAGGTTTCCACTGTTCACTGCTTTCCTTAGATAGAGAAATAGCTTGAAAATTTTGCTATTTTACACATATAAAAATATATGGAAGATAGTTGCCAGTTAGTTGCTAAAATGCTTACTACCAACATGAACACTATTTTCTACTTTCCCACTATATAACAAGCTGGGTTACTACAGTTGAAGGCCAATATGCTAATACTATCTAAAGCAAAGTAATTCCGGAGACCGCTAGGGCAGGAGAGAATCTTGATTAGTTGAGGAGAGCTTTTGTCTGTTGACAAGGCAGGCACTTTAGTTCACCAGCCAAATGAAAATGTTGGCACAATTGCCAAGAACAAATTCTATCAACACTGCCATGGAAGGAATGCTTGCCGTTATCTAACCATGCCTGGGAAAATATAGCCAAACGTTTATCACTGAGTTAACCCAAATTCCTTGATATTCTGATCTAAATTTCTATCAAGACTTTGTTTCTGAATGCACAATAAACTTTGTCTGCTTTAAAATTCTGTGGCCTCTGTGAAGTTGAAGTCATCAAGACAAACTACGGATGAGTTCAATGTTTTGTTTGTGTGACGCACTGTCAGTCTGAATACAGACCTGAAGCACTTGTATTCCTGAACATTATATCCTTAACGATGGCCTGGAATTTTCCAGAACCGATAATTGAACTGAAAGCTGAATTCTTATTTGTAAACTTGCAAATAAAGACATCTTTTCTTGCATCATTTGCAAACTTTTTGCATGGTTTCATCTCCACATAATTTTACTCATGAGTTTTAGGTGTCGTTTAGGCAAATTTGCAAATTTACCACCTAAAACACACTGGGAGTATTTAAATTGGTGCACAGATCTTGGGCATCTGAAGACAATCTTAGTAGTTCACTGCCTCTGAGGTTCCCCTGTAGACCACCTTAATGGAATTGATACTTAAGAAGGTTTAAAGCTTCTCAATATCCCAAGAAATTCATAAGAAGGTTCACACAACCCTAACATTGAGTACTGGCATATGTATCAATCTGTCAAGGTATGCTTGACTGTTTCCTTGGTAGTCCTCCTTTCATTTTGGAGTTGATCCCTATTGCAACACATTTTCATTTCCTGATACACTGGTCTCCGTTATACAGTTCACCTATGATAACATATATATATACTTGTACCTCATGTATCTATTTGTTTTGTATAATACCATCTTTCATTAGCTATTCTATGTTTTAATTCTTGGGAGTGAAAAAAAAATGGCATGCATGATTCTACCCTGGTGATATTTACATCATAGCAAAGATATGAGGAATTGACAACAAACAAGTAAATAATTCAAATTTGTGAGTTGGTTTTCTTAAGGAAGAAATAGTATTAAGTAAGCACGATTTAGTATACTCATTAGAATTGAGTCATGGAAGATGATGCATGCACCTTTAATAATAGAACCTGTTGTCGATGAAGACAGCTAACTTGTGTTTTAGCACTTCATATATCACTACAGTAAGAAAAGACACTTTGATTCATTTTAATTACTGTATTGATTTAGCAGATGGCATTTTCATACATGCAGACAGTTTTATTGAGTCTGCACAACATTTTCTATATTTATGCTGACAAATTTTCTGAAGTTAAGAGAGATTGCTCTTCAGTTTAAAAAGAATTTTATATAGCACCTTGGCCTCTTGGCTAAGATCAGGTGTAAAAAATAATTTTATTACTTTCAGTTTTTATGGGTTCACATACTTATTTCAAAGAGTAGCAAGGATAGAAAGGTGGAGAGATTTTTAAAAATTTTCTAGTTCATTCACAAATGATTGCAACATCTAACGCTGCTTGCTGCTTTTGTTGTTGTTTATAACTTACATCTGTACAAAGAATAGAAGAACATTGGAAAAGACAAACTTTTCACATACAAAAATTCCTCATCCAGAAGATAGAAGATGTGTCCCTAAATGGTAGAAGGCAGTCAGGGTTCTGCTTGTTTGCACCTGTGGCCCAGCCACCCCAGCACAGACAGAGAGGTCTGTCTCAGCTTCTTGTTTCCCAGAATCAAGATATATGAATGTCCTGAAGGAAAAGTCAGTGCTAAAACATGGCAAAGCAGCATGGCCACATTCTTTTCCTGTATCTCAGACATCAAAACTTGCATGAGAAGAGATAGAAATAAAAAGGCATACAGCAGGAGGAGGGCAACCATGGTCATCAAGACTTGCAAGTGGGCCTTGGTGCTGGCATCCCTGAATCCCATGGCAATGAGCTGCATATTTCTGAGATGCCTCCACAGGGAGAAGATGAGCAAGACAAAAGTTGTCACGGACACAATGGATGGTATGATTGTGAATGTCATGTAATTGATTGTAAAAGACCTGGAAGAGTAAAACAATTCTTTTGAATTAGAACTGTAAGTCACATTTTTGTTAGAATCATCAACCCAAACCTCAATATCTGTTTTCATAAATGCAATATTTAAAACAAGAATGACAGAAGACATCAACAGTATTCCTGAGACCACCTTTCCCACTCTCCACTTTAGGTAGAGAAAAGTAGAGTTGGAAAAATTGGCTATCTTGAAAAAATAAAAGATGCTGAGACTTGTAGCAAGCCACATGTTAAGATGATTGGTCACTATCCAGATACTGTTAGTAATTTTTAATATTTGCTCATCCCAAAACAAAGTTGGAAACTTCACAGAAATCAACCTATTTACATGTATAAATGAGACCTGAGTTATTCTAGACACTGCTAAAGCAGTGAGTATCTGATCAACTGGAGAGATTTTCTTTCTTTTGACCCAGTCAATGACATTCACCAGTGCTATGAATCCATTGCCTAAAATTCCAATGATAAACTCTATGCTTACAATAACTACAGCAAAGTTAAGAGAATCATCCATTGTCTGTAAGAGGATATCCCAAATTTGGATTTCACATGCTTCAATTCATTCGTCTAATAGGTTACATATATCTGTATTATGATGCTCAAAGATTCAGTAGTATTCTCTCATTAAAATTCTTGTGTACACAATAGGAAGTCAGCAAGCAGCAAGAGTTTCTGTTGTATTTTCCATATCTCTCTTCATTGAAATCTTTGCATTTTCCTGAAAACTCAGAATGCGCTTCATCCAGATCCTGGGAGCTTTAAACACAGTGGAGGAAAAAAAAAATTTGATTGATCATGAAGGGCATATTGAATTCTAATTTGCTGGTATATCCATATAGATATAATTATTTATATTTTTTGAGATAGCAGGAAACAAGATTCGAATTTGACATGTGGTCTCTCCTAATCATGCAGATTTTTAAAACAATTTAAAGTCAGGAAAGCAAACGGAGAATTCTGCATTGCCCCAAAGTCCTTTACAAGGGACATCAGAGTATGATAAAATCATGGAGTAGGGAACACCATTTCTGAACTGAATAGTACTGGGGTAAACATTTATCCTTCCAGTTTTTATTAGAGTGTGCACACATGCTCACAGACTCACATTTACTTGAATCCCAGTTCCCTTGCATTGCTATCACAGAAACCTATTTTTCCCTCATTTTTTTTTTTCAGTATTTGTTGTTCATCTAGCAATGCTTAATGCTGAGACTTTTGGTAAGTACACTTCTTAACTTATATTACAGGGTGTTAGAAACACTGTAAACTTTGGGATTTCTTTTCTCTTTGCAAAATGCAGCTTGATTGAATTTACCCACAAAGCAAAACCTTCACTCTGGGACTTGCTGTTACCCAGAAGGGTGCATTCCTAACTCTGTACCAAATACTTTCAGAATTTATCCACATTCATTAGCTTTCCACTCATAGCTGTCCCATAACCTGCACTGCAGGCACTATTCAGATAGGAGATATACTGCCTGGTCAGTGGGGAATAGGAGCACCATTCATTGATAGTTAAGAATGAATGCAATGTATTCACAAATAAATTCAGCAGCAGCAACCAAACAAAGCAGAAAAACTTTTGTCACAATTTTCAAAGTGGCAGACAAGGAAAAATATTTAGTGCTTACCACCACGTTTCATGTAATGGAGCAATCCTAAGCAATAACAACAACAATAATAATAGTAATAAACAACAAAAAAACATGGAAAACAATCAGGTTTTAGAATTTTGCAACAATTGATGGGTTGAGGTTTGTGCTCACTGCAACTGAGACCTCATGAGCATTTAGAAAAACCAGCAAGGTTTAGCCTCACCCCAAAATTCCTGCAGAGTCTTCCATCAGTGCACACTTTGATCCAGGGTTGAAATACTTTAGACTGTCATTCAGATAGAGCTCCCAGGAGGAGAACTTTTGTAGAAAAGGTGAGAATGGAAATCAGGATAATTCCCACCTATTTCATTCAGAAACCAGTCTGGTAATTACACACCTGAGATCCTGAGAGGAGCAGGAGTCCTTACCCACTTCAGTGTCAAAGTTGTGTTCAGGTATATGTAGACATAGGTGTATTTTGATTTGTGCACCTGCTGTACAAATGTAAATGATTTTAAAAAATAAGGACTGATATTGTTACGAGGAAAACCCTCCACCTGTGACGCTGGCATCCCAAACTGGCTCCAGTTTGCATCCCAGCTGCTCCACTTCCTATCCAGTTCTTTCTCATGGACTAAGAAAGCAATGGAAGATGACATGAGTTTTGAGCCTTCACCACCCATGTGGGAATCCCAGAGGGAGTACCTTGCTCTGGCTTCAACCTGGTCCAGTTCTGGATCTTGGGGCCAGCTGGGGAATGAACCAATGAATGGAAAGTCTTTCTCTCCCTCCTTCCCTCTCTCTCATTTCGTGTGTGCACGTGAGAGAGAGAGAGAGAGAGAGAGAGAGAGAGAGAGAGAGAAAGAAAGAGAGAGATTCTCTCTCTCTGTAACTCCGACTTTCCAATAATCTTTAAAAAATAGAGTAATTAATTGCCTTCTATTTGTATACACCTGCATATTTCAGAATGATCCTTTGCCTAGCAATCTTTTACCACGTACATTTATGTATTAAAATTAGATGAGGTGCAAGATCAAGATCATGCTCAGAGAAATTCAAGAAATTCATTACTAAGTCCTGCTCTTCTTGGTGTTTGGCAGCATTGCTTTTAAAGCAAGTTTGATATCAAAAGTGAGAAAACATGGTGTGTAGTGAGATATGTAACTATAGATGTGAACAATTTAATAGACATGGCTGTAAAGACTACAGACAAATTAGTTTTCACGTTTATTACATTAGATAAGGAAACCAATGAGATTATGCACAAAGTCAACAAACAGTTCAGAGTTGAAGATTCAACCCCTTGCTTATTTTCAGAGCAGGGGAAGAGAAGGAACTAGCAAAGGAAACAAGACATTGGTACTTACAAGCAAAGACAACAGGAAGTGAGTGCAGTGTCCCTAGGAGCCAGTGCGGGAGTGCCATGTCCCCATCAGATCAGGTCTGCTGAAGACTGAGCATGTGTTACATAAATCATAGGTTGCCTTGTCAGGGTCAGAGCCAATCAAGTAGTGAAAGCAGCCTGGAGCAGCTACAAGGCTTCCTCATGCAGTAAACACGGCAAACCAAAAGGAAGACAGAATTTGGTGGGGGAGGCGTTACACTGTGGTACAGCAAGTCAAGCCTCCATCTGTGATGCCACAGCCCACGTGGACATCAATTGCCATCCCAACTGCCCCACTTAGGCTACAGCTCCCTACTAACAGCCTGGAAAACCACGAGAGGTTGGTTCAGGTGTTTGTGGCTCTGTACCCATGTGGGTGACACAAAAGAAGCTCCTGGCTTCAGCCTGCCTGGTTCACCTCTGTCCATTGCGGCCATTTGGAGAGTGAACTCTAACTCTGCCTCTCAAGTGAATGATTGTCTTAAAAATGAAAGAAAGTCAAACAAAAATGATTGAACCCCCAGATCAGTCTTCTCGAGTGAGATTTTAACAACAACAGGTTCCAAGGTTGAGTTGCTTCAGGAACCCACACTTCAGTGACTGAGGCGAGTCACTGGAAACATGGTGATTCCCCCTTGTCGAATTGGTGAACCTGTATTTTTTTTTTAAATTTGTACCCATTAAGGGGGAAATTCTTAAGAACAATTTTATGTCATAAGAACACTGCTTTATTTCAGTAACAGATCACTTTGCAAAACATTATGCCATTCAGAATACCAAATGAAGCTACAGGAATCAGAACTTAGGTGCATCAGGTGACCAATTCCTTAAACAGCATGAGTACTATAAAGTTAAATATACGGTAGAAATAAATGTAACAAACATACATCGTCGGTTTGAGATCTTACATAGAATGGTTTTGTCATGACGTTTTGACGTGAAATTCTGGCAGCATCAGATTGCTGGATGTGCGGTAAAAGGCTTCATTTTCTTTGAAGTTTGTAACCAGTGTGAAGAAAGCACCAGATTAATTCAATACCATGCTCATGAAAAACATAATTATTTAAAAGATAGACGGAGAGTCGATCATTGTGATGGACTGGAATCTTCCATAGCTGAGGCTGGACTGAAAGCCGACTTCTCGTTTGTGATTATGCAGATGAAGACATATCCCTTTTCATTATTTGCATTTTTCTCTTTACCTAGTGCCTACATTGTTTGCACTCATGGGGTTCAGGTACCAGCTATGAAAAGCTGAAAAAGGAAAACATAAAATACACAGAAAATGACTGAGTTTTTACATGGAGATTGGTCATATGGAGGAGGTTCTTGATTTCACTGCTACTTAGGATTCAATCTCACAAAAATTACAAGATCGATGTGGAAATACTTAAATTGCTTAGTAGGTTTTCCAAGCTTTTTCCATAAAAATGTGTTCTCATTTCCCAAGGAATCCCCTGGACAACTAGTATTTTCCAAACTTGGGCGTTGCCTGATACTTTCCATGAACAATCTCATAAACATAATTATATATATGTCCACAGCCACCTTTAGCACCCATGTGGTTTTTGACTGGCTGTCGGGGAAAATTTTATGATACTATGAGGTATGAATCATTGACATTCACACAGCTTAGATTGGTTTATATTTCTCTCATTCACACTCAGACCTTCTTCTCCAGTATTTATAAAATCTATCTCCAAAGCTATGTCTGTTACTAAGGCTTCTCTCCCAAATCTACCTAACATTAAGTTGTGTATTATTTAAATACTAAGGATTTCATAATTATTTCCAAAAAATGTGATTTTCTTGGGAATCTCTTTTTTTAAAACAAAATTATTCATTTGGGAGGTACAGTGACAAACAGAAGGGAAGTGATGGAGATGAGTACAAATAAGGGATACAAAGATAATATTCCATCTGTTGGTTCAATCTCTAAATGGCCATCAAGGCAACCTTAGGCCAGGCTAATGTAGAGACCAGGAGTTTTATTTGGGTCTCCCACATGGAGGCCAGAGCCTTATCAGTTGGGCCATTTTCTGCTGCTTTTCAAGGTACGATAGGGAGTTGCATCAGAATTGGAGCAGCCATACTCAAACCAGCTCCCCTATGGGAAGACCACAAGTTTCTGTTTTAATCCACTGTATGTTATATGAATAAGCACATATTTTATATATATTAAAATTGTCTCATGTTACAACCTCAAAAACATGAGTGACACACATAAGAGTGATATATTATTTATATAAAGTGTGCTACCATTTAGAAGTCCTATATCCATAACTTATTTGGTATAAGTGCATCTAAATAAATATTTGCATTTATTCTACTTGCTTGTATGTTAACGTGCTGCTTTTTCACAACCTATGTTCACACACCACACAAATTTTTACATACTATAATAATAGGAGTACAAGGGATATAACATTTGAAACAGACACAAATACATAAGAACTGATTTTCCTCTGGACAATGCAAGATGATTCTCTAAACTGCAGATATATCTTAAGAAACACTTTTTTTGAACCAGGACTTCAGCCACCACAGCACAGAGAGTGAGGTCAGTTTCAGCTTTCTGTTCCCCAGAATCAGGATGCATGAGTGGCCTGAAGGATAAGACATTGCAAAGACATGGAAAACCATAATGATCAGATGTTCTTCCTGCAAATCTGGACTCCAGGTTAGTACGAGAATAGAGAGGAAGAAAATGATCCATAGTACAAGGGAGGCAGTTACAGTTTGCAAGCCTTTTAAGTGGGCTTTAGTGCTGGCATCTCTGGATCCCATGGCATTGAGCTGCATCTTCCTGAGATGCCTCCACAGGGAGAAGATGAGCAGGAGGAAAGCGGTCAGGGACTTAGTGAAAGGTATGACCATAAACAAAGAGTCAATCAACATAAGAGTTGTGAATAAATGTGCAGATTCCGTAGAAATGTAATCCAAGGTCATGTTCCTTTTATGAAATTGAATCCAAATGCCAATTTTTATGTTTGCCCGCACAATGTTACAAAGTAACAGTAACAAAGACACCAGCAGTGTTACTGAGACCACTTTTTCAACTCTCCACTTCAGGTAGAGAAAAATCGAGTTAGAAAAATTGGCTATCTTGAGAAAATAAAAGAGACTAAGACTTGTGGCAAACCAGATGCTAAAATGATGTGCCACAATCCAGACATTATTCATAATGTTTACTATTTCCTTTTTGAAAGTTAAAGCTGGGTAAAAGATTGAAACTAAATGACTTATGAATAAGACCCAGAGCAAACAAATATTTGAAATTGCCAAAGCAGTGAGGAGGTGATCACCTAAACCGAGCTTTCTTCTCCTGGTCCAGGTGATGTAGTTCACCACTGCTATGAACTTGTTGCCTAAATTTCCCATTATGAACTCCACAACCGCAATCAATAAAAATACAGTCAGTAAATCAATAGCCATTTTTCATAAGAGAATTTCCCTATTTCAAAGAAGTCTGCTGATTATTTCTTTATGCATTCATTAAAATATTACAAATACATTCTTGTTGAAAATCCAATAGTTCTCCTATTAAAAACATGCAATTCAAGTTTGCCAAAGGATTCTTCATTCTCTCTTTCTGCTTATTTTCTGATTTTCTAGACCTCTCATTCAGATCCTGTGAAGAAAGGTTTTTGTCGTTAGCAAATAAGGAAATGCTGAATTCTCATTATATAATCTATGAATAAGGAGATACTTCATTTCTTGTTCTTTTATCATTTGTAAAAGCAACTTGTATGCTGATAAAGAAACTTCATAAATATATACACATCCTGTGTACAAGATTAAAGAGGTATATTAACATTCACAACCACCAGGGTGTCCCAAACTTTAAAAAGTTGGTCTATGTGGGGATTTGGCATAGGATCTTGAAGGTGTTTGTACAAAATGTCATAGGTGTCTACCAGTCTCATCCAGGACACTGCTCCCAACATTTTGTTTATTGGGAATACTATTCATTATTTGCTTTTTACAAAGATATGGTAACACACACACACTTTCGCAACACACAGAGGCACAAACATACACTCATTATATTCTTCTAACTCCCCTTCTCTTTGAATTCCACCAATTTAGGTTTGCCATTCTTTGCATTTCCTATGCATCTAGCACATGCTCAATTCTTTGACATTTGTTAAAAGCACAGTTTTAAAAATATTGTCTCGTTCTTATTTTATCCTATTGAAGATTCTCTATAATTGGTAATTTTTGTGAGCACATTAAATTAGACAACGACTATGAATTCGCCCACGGTGCAAGAATCCTCCTCATGCTATTTTTCTTCCTTACTCAATAGGGCACACTCCTCAATGAAAACTAGTACTTGTCAATCTTTTCTTATTCCCATCAACCCATATTCCACAAGCCTTGTGAGAGGCAACATTCAGATAAAAGACACATTGCCTAATGAAGGTGAGGAAACAAACAACACGACACAATTATTCCTCAAAGTCAACTACAGGGACACTGGGGACCAAAGAAACAAAGCTAACACAAGCTACCTCCGGGTCTGTGCTAGAAGTCGGGATCCTTTGCCACAGAACTGCATCTTTCTGAGATATTTACACAGGAAATAGGTTAAAATTATAGGTCATAACAGTAATTTTGTTCTAGCATGACATTTGCTACTGTGAGAAATGGTATACTTGAAAGGGTTACAACACTTGTCAGGTTGGTCTTCAAAAATCATGTTTCCTTCATGTTCACTCCATCTCTAGCTCCATCCACAGTCGTTGCTGTAAAACAATAAAACAATAAACAAAATCCAAAACATGCATAAACAGCACCACTAGAATTAATCTCTGATTTTTTCTTCTTAAATGGTAGAAAAGTAAAGGTGAGAGATTTACTATCCTTAGCCAATACGATACATTGTGGGCATTAGTAAGTCAAAGCTGTTATACTAGATTCCTCTTGGGCAATAACAATAATTCTTATCCCACATTATAAAAACATAGACTAATGGTCATTCACTCTCACAATATTAGTAGCATCCAAACTCAAAACAGTTCTGGACAACGCCGGAGCACTGACAATGCGATCAGATGTGGGCATCTTTTGTCTTTTGAATGAAGCGATGCAGTTACCAGACCGTGAAGACACAGGTGAAATTCCCCAAACCAACTGTCATTAATATGCTCTTTACTAAGCTTTCTGTGTCTGAGGAAGTAGGGTAGAGGGCAGGCAAGCCCAGGACCAATGGTTGGGATTTCTCAGCATCCTGATTTGAAGCTCTCTCAACACATGATTTCTGGAGCATCAGAGTTAGTGGCCAAGGTGAAGCAGAATGTACCAAAGCATCTAACGGATGAGGTCATTGCCATATTAGTGGCACACTCTGGGACTGTGAAAACAATTCAAAAGATCTCCCGTCCCTACACTTCATATTTTAGTCATATGCTATAAATTCATGTAGCTGATGTTGGCGTGAAAGCTGAATTCTCATTTGTGAGCATGCAAAGGAAGACAGCTTGCCTTTCATGATTTGCAGTTTCTGCTCATGTAACCTCTACATAATTTGGGTGGATGAAGGTCAGATGTCAGCTAGGAAAATAACACATGGAGCTCACAGAGGTGGCCTAAACAAAGAGAACAAAGTTGGATTTCTGCAGATGACTTTAACTTTGTTACCACTCAGGATTTATTTGTAAAAAGGCACAAACTTAATACAGGAATTCTTAGATAATGAATGCATGAGCTTCCTAAGTATTTCTACTAATAATTAAAAGTCCATTTAATTATTGGGAAGGGAGACACATGTGCAAGCATATACACACACACACACACGACTGTCACTCCTCTGAGGCTGGTCCAGGCTGAAGACAACCAGGATCTCTGGCCACTCTTCCATATGGCTGGCACAGTGCAACTAGTTGGATCATCTTCTGCTATCCTCCCAGTCACATTGTCTGTAAGATGGATCAAAAGCCGAGTAGCTGGACATTGAACAGGTGCTTTGTATTGGAATGTCAACATCATGCATGGCAGGTTACCTTGCTGCACCGAAATTTTGGCCCCTTTGATAATTTCTATAAAGATATTTCAACCAATTAATGCAAAATTTATTAGAACAGATACAAGGGAGTCTTACGAAACTGAATCTAAAAACTCTTTACTTCAACAATTAGGTTAGTATCAATATTATGCTTATTGGAAAGAAAATGAAAACTGCATTAGCAAGTTTTGCTACCAATGAAATTTCAGCATTTCAAATCCTCCAGCCATTTCTTTACATGAGAAAATAAAACTAAGAATTATAAATTATTAAAAGAAGTAAAATAATCAGTAAAAATAATTACATGAGGAAGATGCATTTTCTGATTGCAAAGGATAAAAACGGTTTTAAGATGCAAAATGCGTTACTATTGTGGTTAGCAGGTGCTTCTGAACGAATGAACAAGCAATAATAATTACATACCTGTGCACATACATATTCATAAGGTATCGAATGTCAACAAAAAACTAAGAAGCTCAGTTAATAAGCAACAATATACCTGTTTTGAACACATTGATTTCCATTGGATTGTCACTGGGCTTTTGGGAAGCTTCGTTATGTTAACAACTTTGAGGTTCAGAATTGATAGGGATTTATCAATGTGATTACATTTTTCCAATAATGATGGTGGTTCATGTCTGGAATATGAATTTGACTCAAAATTCTGAATGTGAAACCAATGCTATATTCAGGATAAGTGGAATAAAGCAGTCTCAGCATTATAAGGGATTTTAAACAATTTTTGTAAACTGTATCTCACGTTTGAAACAAATAATTTAGGGTAAAATATTTTTATTAAATATTCTGCTGTTAATTTTTACCTCAAACATTAGATGTGTATTCTAGAGAGAAACTTTATAAATTCAGTAAGTTATAAAGTTCTATTTATGTCACTCTGTTCCATTTGAATACATGTATCTGTATTATATATTAATTGTTTTTCCAATTTTAAAGCTCATAAAAGAATGATTCACATAAAAGTAACATTTTAAGTGATTCTAGATTTATGTCTTGGAGTCACACTTTTAAGTGCTTAAGTGTAGTAATACATCTATCTGCATATATGCCACTATGGTTATATATTTAGGTATTATTTATTTCAAACATAATTCTGCAAAAATTAAATTTTACAAACAATTGAAGAACATGAAGGTGGTGAAAATCTATAATTTGTAAATTTTCTGTGAACAGATTTTTCCTACAGAACATTCACGATGCCCTAAGAGTAGGTATAACTCAACGTTCAGCATCTTTGAACTTGCAGCTCAGCCACCACAGCACCAACAGAAAGGCCTTTCTTAACTTCTTGTTTACCAGAATCAGGACACATGAGTGGATTGAAGGATAAGCCATTATAAAACTACGGCAAATCCTAAGCAGCAAACCCTCCTCCAACGTCTCACGATTCCATTTTCGTAGGAAAGCAGACGTAAAGAAAATGGTAGCTAGCACTAGGAAGGCAACCACAGTCTGCAAGCCTCGCAGGTGGGCCTTGGTGCTGGCGTCTCTGGAACCCATGACATCGAGCTGCATCTGCCTGAGATGCCTCCACAGGGAGAAGATGAGCAGGAGGAAACTGATCAGGGACAAGGTAACAGGAATGATCATGAATATCGTGTCAATGACCAAAAATACCTTGAATAAGTGTGAAGACTCCTCGAACCAGGCAATCAAAGTCAAGTTTTCTTTATATCCTTTATACTGGGCAGCAAAATGAATATTTTCCCTTGTAATATTAAAAATCAAGATGAACATAGACAACAGTAGTGTCACTGAGACCACTTTTTCAACTCTCCACTTCAGGTATAGAAAGGTAGAGTTAGAGAAAATGGCAATTTTGAGAAAATAAAAGATGCTGAGGCCTGTGGCAAGCCAGAAGTTCCAATGATTAGTCACCGTCCAGACAATATGTATTGTTCTAAACATAACCACAGTCCCTTGTGAAAGAGGAGGAACCACAGAAACCCACTGAGGTAAGAATCTGCACCACATGAGACCAATTCTGGAGACTGCCAAAGCAATGGTTATTTTATCAACGGAAGAGATTTTTCTTCTCTTGAACCAATCGTTGCAATTCACAAGCACAATGAATCCATTGCCTATATTCCCAATGATGAACTCAATATATGAAATCACTGCAAATATGGTCAGTATGACACCAGCCATTATTCATTAGAGTGGTACAGTATCAGATACCACTGCTGATGTCTTGCTGTATCCGTCAAGTTTTACAGATTTATATAGATGTATCATTTGAATAACACTTAGAATTGAATAACAGTGTTTCATAAATAAGTCTTGAAGCTCATAAAGCTAATGCAGCATTTCCATTTTTCTTCCTGAAAGTTTTTTGTATTTTCCTTCACAGGTCAGTTGCTCTTCACTCAGTCCTTTGAGTCCCATTCACAGTATTAAAAAAGTCGTTTGTAGTAAATGATGAAGTCAATACAATATTCTCATTGGCTAATAAATAAAGAAAGAAATATTTCTTGTCATTTTTGCTCTATTATCATTGACACTGTGAACTTATACACTAGGCAAGAAACATTATAAAGTATAGGCAAATGTAGCATCGAACAGGATTCAATATGACAATAGGGACATTTATAAGATCCAAAGTTATGGAACACTTACAAAGGATCTGAAGAGATTTTTTCCATGTGCTCTTTAAGATTTTACTGCAAAGTGCAGACATTATCTAGTAATCTCATGCAGTTTACTATTCCTAGGAGATTGGCTGCTGAGAATAACAATATTCATCATTTTGCAAGCGTCTGCACATATGTTCCTACTCATTGCTTACATCTAGATCTGTTTTATATTCCAGTCATTGAGGTTTGCCATTTCTCAATACTTACTGTGCATGTAACACTAGCTCAATTTTGTGAAAGTTAGAGCTTTATTTAAGAACTGCTCTCAGGGTGATATTACATTATAGGAAAGATTTATTAGCCTTGGTAAATTTTTATGCTGTCCAAACTAGGTGGAAATGCATGGGTTATGACTGAAGTAGACACTGATGTTGAATTAATTCATCCACAAGGCAAAAGTCCTCCTTAATCCATGCTTCTGCCTTACCCAGTAACAGGCACACTCTTTCTTCAGAACCAAACATCATAAGATATTCATGAATCTTCTCTCATCTCCCAAAACCTGCTGCTTGACAACCTTGGAAGGGCACCACTCAGTTGAAGAAAGGTTTGCTGCCTGATCACTGTGAAGGTAAAAGCTAGCAAGACTTGACTATTATTCTGTAGACAGCAAAGAATACTGTGAAACAATGAAATGAATTCAACAGGAACTATCAAGGGAAGAAGCAAAAGACATGATCAACTTCCAAGATGGTAGAAAATGGTACAGGATAATTCCGTGTCAAGGACTTACTCCTTCTAAGTCCTTGGAATCAATGCTGCACAATAGAACAGAATCCAATATACCCTGACAATTTGCAAACATGCCTTGCATTTCAGTGGGAGACATATTGATGTTTTCTCTACCTTGTGGAACAGCATTATCTTGCCATGAGAAGTGCTCTGATTGATTAAACCTATCATCTCAATCAGGAAATTCCCACAAATGCATAGATTTTGTTGATGAATTTTACTCTTATCAATTCATCAGTCCTAGTGCAGTTCATTGATTCATTCATCCACTTTTCTTATATCCTTTCCATTTTGACCAGTCAAAAGCTCTCGGGAGGAAATAACAAGCACAATACATGTGTGTGCAGTGATGGTTTCTACACTGTAGTTGTGGGGGTAGATAAGTAAGTGCATAAATCAGATACAAAAAAGATTTGTCTAAAGAAAGAACCAATATTATTAAATTTTTTATAAAGTGTTAGTAGAACTCAGTTGTAGAACAAATTTATAAATTTTCTCCTTATAATAAAACTTTCTGTCAATAATGATGACAACATACTTTGTCTCATTTAACATTTCATATACCATTAGTGTAACTTGAGAAATTCATCAAAATTATCATTTAGATTTTTACAGATACCATCTTAGTAGATATAGAAAGATTTATTGGATTATGTGCTTTTCTATACTTCATTTACATTGATCCATGTAGAAGACTGAGTAGATTCAGCATTCTTATAAATAGAATTTTCAGAGCGGAGGACAGCAATGGCCAATTGAGAGGCCCAGAGACCAGAAGAAAACTGAAATATTTACAACCAAAATGCAACTTCAAGAAGTTTTTCTCATAAGTCAAAACTTCTATGTGATTACTTTTCTTAGCGTATTTGGAAATAAATGGGATACTTAAATTTTAAAAAAATTTAGAAATGATTTTTTTAGTCTTTCACTTATTCATATTTTTATACTGATTATAGTGCACAAATACAAAACATACCATATGTATTTTTTACTTTGGGATTTTTATTAAATGCCTGTTTGCCTTGGGCAAACTAACATTGAAATGTGGTACACAAATATAAATAGGTAAAAAAATATAAATGTGAATAAATAAAACAGAATAGCATAGGTCATGTATGTGGAATTTCCATAGCATAAAACATCCTAATTCCTAATATTCTATCAATTTTATATAACTATTTTGTTTGCATGAAATAGTGTTTGTTTTCCTATGCTCTTCAATTGCAAGTTATACATTTATTCAATAAGGTGATGTAAAGGATTTTTCCACATACACTCTTAAAACTGCACAAATATTAATGAAATAATGCCATTAGCAAGTATAAAAATCTTACTGTATCTAGATTTTTTTCCTGGGTGAAGTGACACAATATCCATGACCATGATGAATGAAAATGCATAGTTTTCTTCTTTGCAGCCATCGACTTACCTGCTACACCAGACAAAAAAGCAAACTGTAACAGAAAAACAAAAAACGCTTTCAATTTTCTTTTATCCCAAATGAAGACAAAAGAATGACATGAAGGATAAGTGAATCCAATAGTATGATAAAATAAGACGATCTGTTTACCACACTGCAAACTTTGTAAAACACTATTCCAGATGGAATGGCAAAGAGTCAAAGGAATGCGGTCACAGCTTGCGTAAGTTTCATGTGGACCTTACGCTGGGATCTAGGATCTATGTCATGGAGCTGTAGCCTTCTGAGCTATTGACAGAGAAATTGGATTGACATCACTGAACACATTCGTTGGGAGCCAGAGTGAGAGCAGGCTGAAATCCGGAGCAGTGAGAATCTGACCAGCTGAGAACTTCTGTCTCTTGCCTGAAACAATACAGTTCACCAGTACTGTGAAGATATTGGCAGAATTTCTAAAAACAAATTCCCTTGCTGAGGTGGAAACAGTGTCATCAGTAAAAAAAAAAAAAAAAAAAATGTGCCTCTGGTAAAAAAGAGGCAAAGCCAATGCACTGATCAAGATCCTATAAAATCCTACCTTAAAGGTCTACTGGCATAAGATTCCAGGATGTGCACAGCATTTGTGGATGACATTTCAAATCTGCGGTCACTGACATTCCTAGGTATACTAATGAATGTGTTTGTCGCTGTGTTTATGGAAAACATCACTATTCTAAAAGCAGCTTACAAATTGTCCAAGTTTTGTACTTTTATGACATGGTTTTGAATCTTCCACAGCTGGTGTTGCAGTGAAACCTGAATTCTCTTTTGCAAGATGCAAATGAAGACATATTGCCTTTCATTGTTTGCAGGCTTTTTGCACTGACTCTTGTGTATATCATTTAGACACATGAAGTTTAAGTGTCAATCAGGTTAATAAATTAGAAACTAAAGAAAACATCTTTAAAAAAAGGAAAGGTATGTCAGTTATCATGAAATCATTCTAATGCTCATGGCCTCCCAGGATTTACTTTAATATACATATTAAATCAAGACAGAAAGATTTAAATGAATCAACAACAGTTTTCCCAAGTTTTTCTTATTAAAAGCTTCTCACTTACCAAGAATAAACTAGGAAGCCCAGTTCTGCCTGATACAGCTTTATGGTAAGTAACCCCATATGCACCCAAGCACATAGCACCAACAAAACCCATGTGCTTCACTGGATGTCCTTAACTTATCAAGGAACAATAAGATATGAATCCTCATCCTTTACTTTCAGAAATACAAAATGAATCTCAGTGAGTTTCTTTGAATTTAAATATTTATTTCATGCTTGGCTTTTCTGTGTGAAACTTCTAGAGTTTCTAATTGTGTGTGTGTGTGTGTGTGTACTTACTACTTCACCCAGCAAAACTTGAGTTACAATTTACTCAGTTGTCAGAGTCAGCTACAATGATAACATTTATATTTGAAAAGCAAAATCGCCAAGTTGATCGTCCAGATCTCATTTCCTTTATGTTCACTCCCCTTCACAGAGTCATCACTGCAGGATTACAAACAATAAAATAACAAAAAACACACAGCATTTCCCAACAACACTGCAGTTAATCCTCTGACTGCAAGGGACAGAACAAAATGGACTGTTTTTAGGGAAATAACACATGCTGGAGTGAATAGCAAGCAAAGGGGTAATGAGGTTGCTTATTGCCTATATGGTCAAAATGCTGATTGTTAATCGCACAGCATTAAAAGCTTGATTGAGCACAGCTGAATCCCAACGTGCTAGTATCACGCAAAGCAAAGTCCTGGGGAATTCCCAATCAGTGAGACAATGATTGGCTGTGGAGAGTTGATTACTACAATGCCACCCACAAGCACTGTGAAAATGTTAGAAAATGTTTCCAAAACAGATTTTATTGTTAGAATGCAAACAATTTTCTTCAGTAAACTGTTTATGCTTGGTGAGTAGAGGGGGATGGGAAGACACGCCTCTTGTTACTGGCTGAGAATCTTTATCCAGAACTTCAAAACTGTCAGCACAGTATTTCCGGAGGTACAGCAAAATCAGTGTGGGAGACCAGCCATTGTGGCCATTTGGGAAGTGAACTAGCATAGAGGATCTTAGTCTCTTCTTTCTATATATCTACCTTTCCAAAAAGCACAAATAAACCTTAAAAATGAACTATCTTTAAAAAAATTATTACATATAATGTGTACCTTAGGGTATTCATTCTGTATAATGCACAACATAAACTGTTTAAAAAAGTACCAACTCATTTCTTCATAAATTTATTTAGATAACCAATACAGAACACACACAGCAAGAAAATCGAATCAGCCTTCTTTTTATTCAAATTCTCATGAGTATATAAAATTAAAAA